AGGAAAATAGGCAATGTTTGGAAATTATAAAAAGGAAGATAAATCTTTTTTAAAAAATGTATTTCAGAAGGGGAAAAGAGGGAAAGGAAGACAATGAGAGAGAGAGAGAGATTATTGTAATCCATCAAAATAATGCTTTTCTTTCATTGTCCTACGTGTGCAAATTTTAACATATATATTTTGTATACATATATGTTTTTTGCACTTTTGGAAAACTAATCAGATGAAAAGAAATGAAATGGAATTTTTGCAAATGTTCAAAAATTAAATTTTTTTAAAATTAAATCAGATGAAAAGAAATGAAATGGAATTTTTGTAAATGTTCAAAATCAAAAGTATTCTATACTCGATCTGAATGTATAATAAAACTATTGTTCTAATGACATTTTTAATTTTAACAAAAATTTATTTTTGCTAATGTAAATTTAAATTCAACAAGTTTTTTTAAAGGCTCTTTTAAGTCACTTTACTAAGGAAAATAATACTATTACTATATGCAAAATATTTGCAATCATGCTATTATAATATCCGGTAATTTCCAGCGATTTAACCTGAGCAATGGAAGAATATCGGTTAATTAAATTTTTTTCACCTTTGAAGAGGGAAGAAGAAAAAAAAAAGGTGAATTGGATGTGGATAACACAGAGCAATGAATCAGAACGAATTGTGAAAGTGATCGTATTTTCTTTTTTCTATTTTTTAAATCGAAAAAGCGATAAACTCTTACTATAAGTGATTTTAATGCTTTTTGTCGTTTTTTATTATTCCCCGCCCCACCCTCCGCCTATCCCGCTCCATTTTCGCATTAGCGTTTTGTTGCTTTGTTAAAGAAGTTTAGCAGAAAATGCAAACAAAAAAAAAAAAAAAACTTTGTCAATCTTTTCAATTTGTTTATTGCTAATAATTGAACATGTTGAGAAAAACGGTAATCTTGAAAGATGGCAATATTAATTGATGCAAATGTATATATGCAAATGTTTCTATTTTGACAAAAAAAAAATTTCGTCAACCTTTTTAATTTATTCGTTGACTCTTTTGAAAGAAATTCTACTTTGATCAAAAAAAAAAAGAATTCTGCAAATATTTCATATTTTGAAATGAACAAAAAAAAAGGAAATGCAACTTTTAATATTTATTTCTAATTCTTATTTCAAATAATACGATTTCTTTTTGTTTGTGAATAAAATCAAATTTTTTGCCAATTTTTCTTCCTTCAAGTTTCTAATAATTCCACTAGTAATATACGAAAGGAAGAATGTGAATTTATATTTATTTGTTTTAACATTATTATCTGTCATTATTCGTATTATGTTTTATCATTATTATTTTATGTTATATGCGTACATTATTTATTAGTAATACATTAACATAAATAACAATTTACTATATTAGCAATATTTTATATTGCGATATTTCAAATATTTACGAATTATACGGCTAATTTGACCAACCAATTGAATTGAAATTTCGCAGTTTTACCGTTCAAATGTTGAATCTAAATTAATAATATTATAAGGATTACTACAATAGGTAATGACTGATCCTTTAGTTTTACTGATTTCGATTTAATTCATTTTTCCATTTACTACTTTATTGATCATTAATTTATTTAATTCATTTCAATGTATTAATACAGCAAAGAATAATCGAAAGATAACAAAACTTTGACTTAATCGCTTAAACTTCTATTATTTTTTCATTGAATTTACAACAATAATTTAGGCTAAATTTTCTACAGGAAGCAATTTTGAAACAAATTTTTGATAAAATACAATTTTGGTATTATAAAATTTCGTTTTTTGTTAATACGAATACAATCATTTATCAGATATTAATGATACCATTCAAAAAAATTATTCCTGAAAAAACATCATCAAAAAGATAATTACTGCAGCATCACAGCTAATTTTTTAATATAAAATGAGAATGTAATAATTAGTCATAATAATATTTACAAAAGCCATAATCAATTGCAGTGTACCAGCAATCAACCAATTAAATTATCTTCAATCAATTAAACTATTTAACAGCTGTTGCAACTGTAATTAATCACTTAAACAACTCAGTTAATAATTACATTAAAAATATACAATTTTTTTTCAAAAATTTTACAAATCTTAGTATAAATCATGAAATAACTCTTTGCAATTTAAAAAACTCAATACGCTCAATAGCGTACTTGGAATAAAATAAATTAATAAATGACTGGATTAACAAACAAACACAGATTATAATTAAACTGAAAAATTTGATAAATGAAAGGAAATCTTTTTTTTTTCTTTTTATTTGTTCAATAAATTATGCTTAATATTATGCAATAAGAAATGGAAGAAGGAACTCCTTCTTTAACAGTCAATTGGCCATAAAGTATATGACGTGCAAACTTGTAGGATGTATCAACTGAATCATCTCTTGGCCATAAAATGCATACGCACAATTGCAATATGTACCAATTAAATTATTCCTTGGCCAAAAAGTGTATATTCAGAAATATGTATGAACTGAATCATTTATATTACGAAAAAAAGAAATTGATGAACAGGAAATTAGAATGAAAATAGAAAATTTGTTGAAATCATAATTCATCACAATAGGGGTTGATCATGCTGAATAATGATGAGTAATGATGATGGTGATGACTCATTCACTCATTCATTTATAGTTTCACAGAACCATTTGTTTCTCTTCCTGCAACTTTATCAGTGAAAAATTCCACTCGCTTTTTCTTCCTTTTTCCCTCTTCTTTTTTATATTTCTTTATTTACTCATCTATTGCTTTATTTGATCTCTTTTCATTTATTTATTTAACTCTTTCTTTTTTCCCTCTTCCTCTATTTCCTCTCATCGGTATGAACCATAAGATAACATTTTGATGATATTTAAAAAAAAAAAAACTCACAACTCGTGAGTTGTGAGTTTTTGCCCTGTTAGTGTAAAGGAAAAAAAAGAGGAAAAAAGATGAGAATCATAAAATATTAGTCATTGCTTAATTATTATGCATAAAAAATTCATACAAAATATTTTTGTTATTAATATTATGAATAACTTTCCAGAAATAATACAATTTATATAAATATTTCAAAAACATTAATAATAATAAAAATAATGAAAATTGAAATAATAATTTCAAAGTATAATAGTGATAGTGCAAATCATCGCGAAGCAGTGGGAAAGTTTTAAAAGAAGCAACTCTATCAAATAAATGATAAATGAAAGGAGCTGTGAGAGAGAACAGGAGTGAAATCCTGGATAGAAAAGTCGGAATTTTGAATATTTATTATCACAGAAAAGTGCCATCAATAGATTAGAGCAATATGAAACGAGTATATGACTTTTTATACTTGCTGAAAATGAAATGAAACTAAATAGTCTAAATAAGAATAAATTCACTGTATTAATCTTTGACTACTTGACAGTGCCTGGTACTATGTAATGTAATGATGTCAATGTTATATTAACCTTGCTACAGTTGTCTGTCACTATTGATCTCTTTCATTCATGTAACCGTAAGTTTTTAATTTTGACATTTAATTGCAGTAATGACTGATACTAAAAGCAGAATGAAGTAATTATGATGCTATATGGAATGAAACTAGAATGAATAGTAATTATGGTATCACACTGACAGTATTAATAAACATCAATAAAAACGGATAATAATATAAAAACAGTGAGAGTATGCAAATAAAAAAAAATAATATATTTGAAAATTTGAAAGCAAGAAAAAAAGATAAAAATGGAATAAATTCATTTATTTATTTTGATTATAACTTTTTATTAAAAAATTCCAAATTTCAACAATTTTATTACATCACGTTTGTTTGAAAAAAAAATGGAAATGGCAAAATGGTGAAAACGAAAAATCGTAATTTTTTTTTTTTTTTTTGAGAAAAAATAATAATGTAAATGAATGTAAAGGAATTAGGTGTAATGTGTATTTTTGACTCGATATTTACTCATTGTTTGATTGTTAAGAAATTTCGAATTCAACCGAAAATGAATAAATAAACGATTCAAAAGAAAAAGTTGTGAGATTGTAATCGTTGAACGAGAATTGAATGATGTTTGCCATGTTAAATGATGATAGTTGACTGATGCATTTTTCGTTGAATATATAACCCATCATCGACCACTAATTGCTAACCAACCGATTATCTATCGATCAGTTTACAATTTTACTCAAAATATTGAAAAAGATATTAGAAAATGATAACCTCAATTCTGTTTCTCCCCTTTCATTTCTTAAGAAAAAAAAAAGGAAAAAAAATGATATGTTAGTGATAACAATATACAACGGTTTGTTCATGTGATGACAGTAATCACTATGATAATTGTGATAAGTAATAATGATAGTAAAAATGTGATAAATGATCGTAACAATAATTGTGATTACGATAATCATGCAATGGTTACAACGGTAATGATAGCGGTAATGATGAATTATCACTATTATTAACATTGTGCAAACGCTGAAGGTAATGACATCATATTATAATGATAAAAACTTATAATAAGTATCGATATGATGCCATAACTTCAATTAATAACAGATCACAGATTCTTTATTTTTATTTTTTTTTGTAATGTAACCAGGAATTTAACAAAATTTTCTTCCAGGAAATTAAAGAATCCATCAAGCAACATTCTTTAAGAAATGATAAAACAGATGCATAAATATTTCAATGAAAGCACATTTGATGCTAATTCGATGTCATAAAGTTTTCGTATTTCTCTCATTTAGCAATTAGATCAAAATGAAAAATGAAAAACACACCTAAAAGATTATATATTTTCAAGAAAAAAAATGGAAATAAATTAAACGTGATAGTAAAGAATATTTTCAACGACAACAATAATAACTCAATGATAATAATTTTCTCTTATTACACTGACTGATATTGAATGCAAAATGAAATTTGCATATTTCCAAATGACATAAAAGCACAGCATATATTACTTATTTTCTCGAAAATGAGCAATAGTTGAACATTTTTTGCTGCATGGAGACGGCAGAAGATGTGGTTGATGAATTGTTAAATTTGGTGGAAGCTTCGTCGAAGAATCCAATGGAAGAATTTCTCAATGATTTAGTACAAATACCATCCAACGATATGATGGAAAAATCGTTAGAAAATTCGTTAGCAATATCATCCAGAAAGAATAAGATAGATGAGATTTTGGATGATTTAATAAATGCAACATGTAAGGATGAAATGGAAGAATTGTTGAACGATATGGCAGAAATTTCATCGAACGAGATGGCAGACGAGGAGAACTTGATTGATATGTCAATTGAAGATACAATGAATCAACTGCTGAAAGCTTTGATGGAAGCATCATCGGAGGAGACAGTGAATCAACAACTACTGAAAGATTTACAACAAATGACAGTGAACGAACCGTTAGAGGAAAAATTAAAAGAAATGTCTAAAATGGCATCATTCAAAGATTCCTCCATTCAAACATCATTCAAGAATTCACTGATTGATGTTTCGCCAAATTTGATGAAGAAAGAATTGCCTGAATCACCAATTCAAGAATCATTTACAGATTCCGATTCCGATGAACTCACTTCAAGTGATTCCGAATCAATTGTTAAGTTTCATTCTCTGCCGGAAAATTTCCCTGATTAGCTTACGCGGTCCGTTATAAACGGATGCCATATTTGAGATGGAATTTGTTTTGAGTTACTTTTTATGGTTTTTAGTGCTGGCTTTCGTTTATAATTTATTTTACACATCGATCTTTTTCATTAGTCTGACCTTTAGCATAGAAAGTTTTCTTTGTCCCTTCATAAAATCAAATAATTATTAAAGTTGCAAATCTATGAAATGCCGTAAATCTCTGAAAGTTTGATTGATTCTACAAATGCTGTAGATTTCTATAATTCTATTAATCCTTCAAAATTCTTCACTTTTTAAGGTTTTTACTCTTGAAAAAAAAGTTCTTTACTCTTGAAATTTATGCGTTGATTAAATTTTAATAATTTTAATTTCGTAACGAACGAGTTTGTTTTCAACGAGGCGATTCCATCCTTCCACTTTTTGAAATAAACTAATGTTTTATTCTTCTTATCCTATATTTGGATTTCTATCATACTTCTCTCCCCATCCCATTCTTTCTGATAAACTTCATGAAGTAAAATTGCATTCAATGATTTTGTTCAACGGTCACATTTTCCCATCCATTATCAAATGTAGAAAGGGTAATGATACAACTATTTAAACGATTTCCGGAAATTGGCATTTTAGTGAAGTAGAAAAAAATTCGGAGTGTGATACGGAATAGATAAGAAAATGCAAGAATACGCGGAATTATTTGTTTTTACACGTAGACAGCATCCGTAACATTCATAAATAAAGCCTGTAACACATTGTGAAAACGGAATTATTTCATAAGTTTTTTCAGCTGTATGAAAATGAATTTCAGGAAGAGGTTTATCAAATGAGTACTGCCGTGGAGAAAAGTGTTATTTATCGAAGGAATGATCCAGGAACAACCAGAGAAGAATGGTGCAATTGGCCAGATATGCCCTTTGAAGAGGTTTGTGTAGTATATTTATTTAGATTTCAACGCAATTATTGGCTATATATATATATATATATATATATATTAGTATTGATGTGATAGGTTCAATTAAAATTTGAACCAATTATTTAATTTTATGCTCAGTTAATTTGATGATAACAATAATTAATATCAGATTTTAGTCGGATATACCTGTTTTTTTTTAAGATGGATAATACATTGAATGTGCAGCAATACATACAGCAATGTATTCATAAGGATCCATCAGATGTGGATACTATTCTAAAAGCTCCGCCAAGTCAGGAAGAAGGAGTATGGAAATATGAACATGTTAGACAGTTTTGCATGCAACTCAACGGTTTAACATTACTCCTGCAGGTATGCTCATTAAGTTGTTATAAAAGAAAGGAAATAATCCATTTCAAGTGTGATCGAAATTAACACTATTGGCTCATATTTTGACAAATCTGTTATGACTATGTTGATAAAATTCTGCTGAAATTAAGAAAATTGTGACGAAACCTCGGATTATTTAGGTGGTATGTAATTCAGAATCCTTTTAACTTATTTTCAGAATTCTTTTAACTTATTTAACTTTTTTTTAGAATTTAGTTTAATAAAAAAGCTATTTTTAAATCAATTTTTTTTTAAATTATTGCGATTTATTTTTTTTTTGTTGAAGTAACTGAGTGATCAAATTGAACCGAGACATCTGAAATTTTTTTATATTTTCAAGGATGAATGTAAGCCAGATGTTTGCGTGCAGATGACTGCCACAGAACAGTGGATATTCCTTTGTGCGGCTCACAAGAATCCAAAAGAGGTATTGATTTTTGTCAGTCAATTGCTATTTTCATAAAATTATCATTTGATTCGTAGTCATATTTGGTTAGAATTTCTTGTGAGTTGCATATATTATCATTGAGGTTTACTAGCGGAATATATTTGTTACTTATAGTTTATTGATAGGTTTTTTCATTTTGCTAGTTTTTCGGTGTTATCATCACATTTTGTTGTAGTGTTCTGCAATCGATTATACGCGACATACTTTGGATGGTGCAGCGGCATTATTGAATAGCAATAAGTACTTTCCCAGTCGCGTTTCAATTAAAGAGTCATCAATTGCAAAAATTGGTTCGGTATGCCGACGAATTTATCGGATTTTCTCACATGCTTACTTTCATCATCCGGAACTCTTCGAAAAATTTGAGGTAATGTTGCTTTTTTAAATCAAAAATTCAACCAATAGTAAGTTATAATATACAGTTTTGAATTACTATTTCAAATTAATTTGGATATTAATAATTTAGTTAGGTTCTGCGGAATTTTTTCCATCCTATTTTTGCATACAAAATTGGAGCATTTTAATGACACATGCTAATTTTCAGACAGAAACTCATCTTTGTCGTCGATTTACAGTCTTCGTGAAGAAATACAACTTAATGGCAAATGAGCATTTAATTGTGCCAATACTGGAACAGAAACCAAATCATCCGTAAATATGAAATGAAGTGTGTTTGCTTCCAAGTAAAGTACAAGAAATAGGCTTTAACTTATACTTTTTCTTGTTGATGTCATTTGTTTATCTTTATATTCACTCCTTATTTGTTTTTCTTGATTGTAACATAAAATTTATGGTTATTTTATAACCTAAAAAGGAAATTATTTATATCAGAACTTTTTTCCATCAGATTTTCTAATGCATTCATTACCTGAAATATGTATTTAACACAGTTTCATAGCAAACGGATCGAGGGAGATAGGACATAATTCTTTGGCATTGTTTTAGATAAATTTTTTTTCTTAGAAGATTCTGTTTGAATCATCAGATATTTTAATTTGCCTTTCTTTTACATCTTATAGAATCGTTATTATATATTATTACCAAGCCAATGTCAGACTTACATTATTTATCAAAACATCGTTGAAATGTCACAGTATCGCAGATTCGAGCTTTGAATCATTTTTCTATGTTTCTTTTAAAATGATTTTGTTATTCCAGAATTTTTCTGTTAAAAAATAAAATAATTCATTTCATGTAAAGGCTCGAATCTTTGAAGGTGAAACCATCCAATGCTGTAAATTGTAAGAAATTGTGCATTCCCATTTCTGTATTTTTCAATGAATGACCTTTACTGCAATAAAATAGATTCGAAAATTCGTATCTTTTAAAGGATAGCATTTCATTATATAATTGATCCGTATCAGATAGTGTAGGTCAACGAATGTTCCATTTGAATGGCATTTGTACCAGTTTATTAAACAGACCTCTTTGTTAGACGTTATCAAAAACGATGATGGAAATGGCTAACAGAGAGAAAATTGCTTTTCAAAAACTCTGAAAAAATGTTCTTGAAAGTAAAGTATATCTTCATTGATATGTCCTCGTTTGAGGAATTTTTAGATAATTATGAATAATGACGATCCGGAATATAGTGAAGAAACAGGACTTGATTTATTCCTGAGACTCGGTGCGCCATGGCTAATGCAGAAAACTGGTTATCCGGATATCGATACTTATCTCAATGGTGGTGTTGCTCGGGGTAGGCTTACCGAATTTGTTGGTAACGTTGCTTCCGGAAAGACACAGGTGAAAACAACACTTCTTGTAGTTAAAATCATACCTGTATTCTGATGGAATTATTTTGCTTTAGTAAAAACATAATTTTTTCTATTGAATTTTTTCAGCTTGACTAAAATATATTCATTCAATTGCAGTTATGTCTTTCGCTCATTGCTAATCAGTTGGTCGATGATGAAAAGGAGCAAAACAAAATCGTTTATATCGATACAAATGGTAGTTTTGGTAGTAGTCGTTTACTACAAATGATGAAATCACGTGGTGTTCAGGTGATAATTTATATTGAAATTGATGGGAATTATTTCACTGTAAAATAAGCATGTCCTTATAGCATCGCTTATTTTTACTATTGATATTTTATTCTTGCTTTTAGTGAGAAAAATGCAAACAATAACCAACATTTCATGCCATTTTCTGATTAATATATTGCCGGAAGTAGTCGAATATTTTCTGAAACTTTCGAATAGTCCTGTTATTCTATGATATGCACAATAAATATAAATTCACACAATGATTGAAATTTCAGGATGAAAATATAGCAAAAAGGATGCTTAAACGAGTATTTATAGCACGAGCTTATGATGAAAAAGATCTTCGAGTTGTGCTTTCAAATATTCAAGTAATCGAATACTTCATATTATTTCAAATATTGAATTATCAAATACTCAATATCATTTCAAATAATAAAATAACTAAATGTTTGGTTCAGTTTCAAATATTCGATTAACCAAACATTTACTTTTCAAGTAATCATATAATCAAATATTTAATATCATCTCAAATATTGACTTAGCGAAATACTAAAATGAATTCTACGTAAAAATTCGGAGAGCAATGGGAATCGATTGGTGAGGTTAACGGATTCGTTGCTAGAGAATTGTGGTGAGGAAGAGACTGTGGACAGAATGCAGAGATTGTGAGAAACAGTGTGGTTGATGAGGAGGAGAAGTGCTTTGAAAAGTTTTCGCAATAAGCCACTTGCTGTTTGCAGTAGAAATGAATGAAGATCAGAGTTTGGAATTGGACAGTCGAGATCATACTTCACAGAATCATTTCTGTAGTATGTATTTCTTCGTTATCAGCGAAAATGCGACGGAGCGCAGCCGCGATGATGTGGCATGGCGTCATCTCCAGAGCGGGAAGAAGCGTTTCGTCCGTGCTCTTTGAGTCAGGGACGTTACGTTTGATGACTGCGTGGAGGACCTTGAATTAGGTCTCCTAGTAGGAGTTGACGCGTGCTGAGCGGTCCCATTCAAAGCAAAATTATGAG